CGAGCCTATTTCGAGACATTGTTGAATTATTCTTCAGAGGCAAAATCCTCGCATCTTACCACCTGTTTATGGGATAGCGATCCTCCGGGTCTGATGGATTCAGGAGTAATTGCACCGAATGACAACCCCGCTCTCACGAGACGTATAGAGTATTTCAAAAATAATCGTGCTGTGGATCTCATAGGACATCTACATTGCGACGTTTTCAATCAGGATAAATTCTTGATTAACGGTGTGGAAATGCGTCTAAGACTTATCCGCTCAAAGAATTCTTTCTGTCTCATGGAATCTACGCCGCAGACAAGAGTTCGTATTGTAGACGCCACCTTGATCATGAGGAAAGCAAAACTAAGCGCTGGAGTTTTATTAGCTCACGCTAAACTGCTGAGCAAAACCACTGCAAAGTATCCTCTCACGAGAGTTGAAGTTAAATCGTTTACGATCCATAGAGGAGTGGTGGNAGAATCAATTGACAACGCCATACTCGGGCAACTGTCGAAGCAAGTGATAATCGGTTTTGTCGAAAATAAGGCGTTTAACGGCGATAGTAGACTTAATCCGTTTAATTTTAAAAACTTTATTATAAATTTCTTGTCGCTTTACGTCGATGGAATGCAAGTTCCTACTAGACCGTTAAAACCTTCTTTTTCAAGTGACTCTCTTCTCTACATCGAGACTTTTCATACTCTTTTCTCAGGAACGGGTATTCATTTTCTAAACAAAGGCAATGCTATAAGCAGAGATGCTTATGCTCACGGATACACACTCTTCGCTTTTGATCTCACACCCGATTTATCGGCCAATTGCGTTGAACATTGGAATCTCGTGAAGCACGGTAGTTTGCGAATTNAAGCACGGTTCGAAAAAGCTCTCGAAACGACTATTAACTGTCTTGTTTATGCGGAATTCGACAGTGTTTTGAAAATAGATTTTTTGCGCCAAATTATTGTTGATTATAACGGATAATCATATTTCCGCACATGCGTAAAACCAAGATAATTTACCCCCACTACATTTTTCCTACTTTTCTACGCCTTTTGTCGCAAGCGTTTTGTGGAGAAATTTTAGTTTCGTTCTAGTTTCCGATATCATTGCTTCGTTTTCACGATGTCTGAGTATAAAGGTGCTGTGATCATAGAAATACAAGGATTTCGCGGCGTCGTGTGTGAATTTATTCTAAAAGAAGTGGCGTATGTCGCGGTAAACCGACCGATTTTTGGAAACTGGATTTTGATGCCTTCGTTTTCGTTCACCGAATTACCACAAAAATCAAAACGATGCAACGATTGGCTTACACAAATTTATCACGGTATCGAATGGTTTGACAGTAAAACCAATCTCAAATATCTCACGAGACATCTACGAGAAGTCATCAAATACGCTCCCGTCATCTACACCANAGGCAAAGAAAAAATGGATTTCTTAGAAAAGCTTCTGTCTAAAAACATATATAATCTAGAAGATCTCTCTCCGTCGTACAAATCCATCTCGAAAAGCGAAGAGAACATATCTCAGTGTTCGTATTACGGAGTTCGCTCATCGGACATTAATTGCGCTCTACGTAACGCTTTTCGGTTAAAACGCTGGTTAAACCTAAACAGCGTTGAAGAACATCTCGATAGCGGCTTTGTCAGCGATGAGATCAGCATGATACAATCTGACGACATCAAAACGGAGGAGGAGAAAGAACAACTAACAGCAGAAGAAGATACGCGCAGTGAAGACGATTGCCCACCGAAAACCTCCTGCCTAAACGACGTCGCTGTACAAACAGAGGTACAAGGGGAATACATAAGATTCACTCCGCTTTCTTGCGACTATCTGTATCGAAATAATGAATACAAAAGAAATATTGCAAGCCTTGCGACAACTGCAAATATCTGGACACACGAGAGTTTATCCAGCCGACAAATTGCNCAGGGTGTGGACGAAGTGGACAGCAATCGTCGCTAACACAGACAATCACAATCAACCAGGAACNCACTGGGTTGCCTTCTTCCTCGATGGAAACAGACACGCCACCTACTTCGACAGCTATGGAATACCGCTGTCAGATTCCCGCTTCCTTCTGCGACTTCGAAGAAATTCCGCAACGCACACGTGGAACACAACTCAACTTCAAGGATATTTCTCGCAAACGTGCGGGCATTATTGCTGTGTGTTTCTCTATTTTATGGCTCACGGGTACAGCCTTTCCCAATTTTTACAACTGTTTTCCGGAAATTTCGACGCCAACGACAAATTAATTGTATGTTTATTTCGTAAAATATTCTCTACGAAGTCCAACAATGTACAAACGCGCTCTCCTAAACACCATATTCAACACTGTACTTGTAAAACAAAAAAAAAATCAACTGTAATCTTGTATTTTCTTTTATGTATTCAAAATATATCTATATCGAATAACTGTACTAAGTTGTTTTCTCTTATTCTTCCCAAGAAACCTATTCCTAAACTTCTCACACATTTTTATAAATATTTTAGTCTACATTGCATATCCATCGAAAACTCTCGTAGAATTTTCTCGAAGTTTCTCACGCGAACAAGTACGCGCAGGTTTAACGGTCCCGAGTCATAAACCGTTTTTTGTATTCAAAAAAATATGTTCTCATCGGCACGCACGTGTCAACCCGCACGTACAAGGTCGCGCAAATTGTTCAGAAAATATACGACACATAAATTCATTTTTTATATTACATCCCTGATTTTCTTTAGTCACAGTCTTGCGACGCCCGCTTCAATTTCTATTTTGCCTAGACGCCCTCAACTATGCTTCACGCTCATTGGGAGCCATAAGTGACCAGACGCTCATTGGTTCTTCCTTGGGGGTCCTATCATTCCCATCAACTACCCCCGAACCTCGCTCATTGGGAGCCATAAGTGACCAGACGCTGATTGATCCTTCTCGGGACCGATGCCACCCCCGCCCTTACAATTCCTCANTCAACCGACGCCAACTTGCTCTCATACACGTTTGAACGCACGAGGCAACAACATCGGAGCGCCGCCATTACCAGCTTCACGACGGATTTTTAAATAAATATAGACTCTTTTAATAAAGAATTCTTACTCGAGAACATTCTCGAACCTTCCTCTCACACAAATTCCTCAACAACAAAAAATTTAAATACACATTTTTGGAAAATTATAAAAATTTATGGGGTCATAAATCATGTCACTTCTCCATCCCCTCCAGTGGGCGTGGCCAATCACCACCAAGAGAGGGGAAAAACCACCCTGGTGGGACAATGGCGCCAAAATTGGTGGGGGAGCCAGGTGGAGGGGGTTTGTTTTGTCGCGCCATAAGTGACCACATACTACTCACAAATTAAAATTATTATATTTAATTATGCAAATTTATATGTGTGTGTGCCAAATATGTCCATACAATTTTATACATGGAAAATTTTTTACCGGGATGTATGCAATCTGCCAAATAGTAAATCACGTTAAATAACATCTCTTCACATTCCTCTGTTTCTTCTTCACGCCTGTTTCTCCGAGCATCTTTTTCTTCTCTTTCTTTTCTTCCTTCAAGAATCGTTTGCCTCTGCATGCGTTCTTTGGCATGAGCCAACCATATTTTTATAGGAGCTGCTATTTGTTCGTCTGTGGCATTTGTATGAAGTTTTCTTGCTGCACCTAGAAACAATGTTTTAAGTATTACTTATGTAAATAAACTAAAATAACTTTTTTAAATGTTATTGTATTATATGTATAAATTAAAAACTGTATACATTTGATTGTCAAAATATATGTGCAGATCATATACAAATATCGTGATCGTATTTAAAAATATAAACATTTAAAATTGTCTAAGTAATTGATAAAGTTCTTATAACTATTTTTAAATGTTTTTCAATTTATAAAGAAAATATGCAGTAATAAAAAATAATAGATTTTGAATTTTATTTACTTAATCATAATAACTTTGCATATGTGCAATTTGGAAAAGTTTTCTTTTTTCTTGGCGCCGTACCAACTATAATTTACTGCCAGCTCGTTTGTAAAAATTGTTTTTATTAGACGTACACAAGAAATTCTCAGATCTTGGCAATTAACGTGAGCTAATTGTTTAACCTATAATAGAAAATTAAACTTTAA